TACCACCATGCCTGGTTTATGTCACAATTTAGTTTGCAGGGATTGGACCCATTTGTTTGATACAAGGCAGATAGTAGGGAAAGAGAAACTGTGACTCAGTCATTGGGAATTGCTAAGCAAGTTTCTTCTACATATTTTTTCCCCTTTTGGGTTATGTCTAGCCTTTGCTAAATAATAGTTCCATTGGTCACCTTTCTCACGGAGAACTGGAATTACATGCTTAGTGTCCTGGCACCTTGGGAATTTAGGGTCTGTGTGGAGCCCTGTAGCCTTGGTGACAGGTAAATGTGAGCTGAGAGCAGAGGTTGGCCAGGAGACTTCATAGGCCATCTACCTGGGGAGAGTAAGACAGTCTAGTTCCTCTGGTTGAACCCCGCTTTCTGTGGGCCTCTCCCCCACTCTACCAAGTCCCAAATTACGTGAATGGCTCACATATCCCCAGAGGAATGAAGGAGTTCCTGAGGTTAGCACGATGTCTTCTACAAATACTCTGCCCGCCTATCTGCCTGCCCGCCCACCCGCCCATCTGTCTGTATCTATCCGTCCATCATCTATGTGTATATTCATCTCCGTGCTGGAGATTGAACCCAGGACCTTTGCACTGAGCTATATCCCCAGCGTTTTCTTACTTTGCATTTCGATACGGGCTCTCACTGAGCCATTAAATTGCCCAGGTTGGAGGTAGACTTACAGTCCTCCTTCCTCAGCCGCCCACGGGCTTGCAGGCATGTCCCCCACACCTGCCTTGCTTTCCATTTTTGCTGTGTGTTATCTGACCATTCTCCGTAGTGCTTCTTGGTCCTCTGTTCCTTCTCACTGTGTCAGTTTGGGATAGGGAATGGATTGCTCTGCTCTGATCTCGCTTGTCCGCTGTGCCCAGCTTTCAGCAGACCTAGACTGCCTACCTGCGTGTCTGCTGTCCGACTGGAATGCAGTTTATCTTGATGTCTGCGTGACCCGCATGGGTTTGCTTTCCTTCTCCAGTAGTCTCTGTGCTACACTGCGCAGAGTGGTTTTCGTGGTGGTGGTTCTGTGAGACAGGATCTTGCTCTGTGGTCCAGGCTGGCCTTGAACTCGGAGCGTTCCTTCTCCTCAGTCTACTGAGTGCTGGGGTTACAGGAGTGGCTTGCGACCTTGAGTTCTAGAAACTTCGTGAGGCTGTCCTTTTAAGCCACCTTACATGTGTCTACATATGCACCTGGATGTGAATGCAGAGATGTACTCACAAGTCTTAACATCTCTCTGAGCAACAGCTGTTGCTTACTTTTTGCTCCTCTGTCCTAATACAAGCTACAGGGAGCCTCAGGCTTAGCTTTGCAATCTGCCAGTTTCTGGCAGCATTCCCAGTAGGTTAGTAAAGTGCAGCCCCATTCTGGGGTGTGCCACAGGAGCTACATGAAGTCATTGGCCGCCTGTCACAGAGCATGGGAGAGTGACTCTGGCAGGCCCTCCACACTGAAAAAGTGGGAAGCTCTATCTTTCCATTGGGGCTTAGTGATTCCTCTGCAAGGGTGACAGTGCAGAGAAACGCCTGCTTTCCTGAGCCCTCCACAGACCCTCTGTTCTCAGCTGTTCCATGTCCTTGTGTTAGATGTTTTTATACTGGACATGGTGGTGCACAGCTGTCGTCTCAGCACTGTGGAAGGCGCAAGCAGCAGAATCACAAGTTCAAGCCCAGCCTGGGCAGCTTAGCAAGACCCTGTCTCAAAAGTTAAAGGGCTGGGCATGTAGTTTATTGTAGAGGCCCTGGCTATAATCCCCAGTAGCACAAAAAGCAGAACTTAAATCCTAGCATAATAGTGTACTACTGTTAGCAATCATATGGTAAAGCAACTCTTCTTTGCCAGACCTTTATTTTTTGCTAGATCTCTATAACAACTGTGTGAAATAGATTATTTTTATTTTTGTGGTGCTAGTTTTTCTATCCTAGGCAAGGACTCTTCCACTGAGCTACACCACTACTAGTCCATAAGAAGTTATCCAAAAAATAAATTTTTTTTTTTGGAGACAGGGTCTTGCTACGTAGCTCAGGCTAGTCTTGGGCTCACTGTGTAATCCAGGCTGGCCTCAAACTCACGGCTCCTACCTCAGCCTCCTGAGTGCTGGGATTACAGGTGTGTGCCACTATGCCCAGCTTTTATTATTTGGGGTGAGGTGTTTCAGACAGAGAGTCTTGTTGTGTAGTCTAGGCTGGTCTTGAATTCACTATGCAGCTCAGCCTTTTTTTAATTTTTGAGATAAGGTGCCACTGTGTAGTCCCGGCTGTCCTTAAACTTATCCTGTAGCCCAGGCTGGCCTCAAATTCACAGCAATCCTCCTGCCTCAGCCTCCCGAGTGCTGGAATCGCAGCTGTGCACCACCACTTCTTGCAGTACTCATGAGGTTATAACCAGGCTTCAGATTCCATAGAAGAAACTCAGGTCTTTGCAGATTGTAGGTCACAGTTTACTTGGAGTCTTATCACACTCACTACCCTGTGTTGAAGAACAGAGTCTCTGTAGATCAGTGCTCAGAAAATGTGCCTGGGAAACTCCAAGGTGCTGACTAATTTAGTAGATTTGGGACAGGCTTGAGGTTCTGTATTCTTAGTCTGTTTTTTTTTTTAAGTAAGGTTCTCTGTGCTCCCAGACCCCAGCACTGGTCTCAAGGGCCCCTGTCACCTCAGGTCCCTGTGTAGTAGCTGGGACTACAGGCAGCGTCACTGCAACCATTCTCACGTGGGCTTTGTCTTTTTGACACAGTCTCGCTATGCAGTTCAGGCTGGCCTTGAGCTCACTTTGTAGCCCAGGCTGGTCTTGAACTTGCACAGATCCTCCTGCCTCAGCCTCCCGAATGCTGGGATTACAGGCAAGTGCCACCACACCCGGCTTATGTGGGCTTTGAACAAGTAGGATCTGGGTTGGTGGTTGTTAAATTTAGGACACCATCAGTTCTATCTGGAAGTGCTTGAAAAATAAACACACACACACACACACACACACACACACACACACACACACACGTTTGTTTACTATATAGTCCAGGCTGGCCTTGAACTTACAGTGATCATCCTGCCTCAGCCTCTCAAGTGGTGGAATTGCAGGCATGTGCTATCATGCCTGGCTTAAACTCAGAAATTCTTAATGGAGGAGTTTTTGAAGGGCCTAGGAATTGTTTTTATTTCATTGGTGTTTTTTGTTTTTTCGTTTTATTTTGTTTGGTTTGGTTTATGTGTTTTCCTCATCACAGGGTCTTAAGCGCAGGGCTTTGTGCATGCTTGGCAAGCACTTTACCGCTGAGCTACACTCCCGTTCCCCAGGTTATTTTAATGATCAGTTTGGGACTCACTGGTCGGTCTAGATGCTGATATATTATGGGTGCGTCGTCTGACACAGCACAAACATGCAAGTGGGCCACTAATGTAGCTTCATCCAGTGTTTTGATCAAGGGCGATTTGTTTAAAAGGGTAGGCTGCTTGAGCCCAGCAATAACCTGGGCAAGAGTGAGAACCCATCTCAGAGAGAGAAGGTTTTACTTCATCTTCTTAAGCTATACATTTTAAAAAATCTATTTCACAGTACTAGGGCCTTCACACTGAAATACATCTCCCAGGGCCTTCACACTGAAATACATCTCTAGCCCTTTCTTATTTTTAATTTGGAGACAGGGTCTGGCTAAGTCACTTTAAGTTACCCATACTAGACTCAAACTGGTAATCATCCTATCTCAACCTCCCAGAGTGCCGGGCTTGGTGGCACACGCCTGTAATCCCAGCACTCTGGTGGGAGGCTAAGGCAGGAGGAGCACTGCGAGTTCAAGACCAGCCTGGGCTCCAAAGTGAGCTCAAGGCCAGCCTGAACTGCATAGTGAGACCCTGTCTCAAAAAGACAAAAAAAAAACCTCCCAGAGTGCTGGCATGACTACAGGTGTGTGCCAGCACACCTGACCCTAGGTTATATATTTTATAAAGACAGAGATTATTTCTCTCTGGTTTATAGTTACATTCGTTTTTGTGTGTGGTGATGGGCATCAAACCTAGGGTCTCACACATCTGGGCAAGTGCTCTACCACTGAGCTACCCTCCACCCTCCCCTGCATAGTTACATTCTTGGCATCTGGAACAGTAGTGCCAAACAGCGAATGAAGGTTTGAACCACTGAATACTAGGAAGAGTCTACCAGTAGACTCCACTGGGAAGGTTCTTTCTCTAAGACTGATCAAAAAACAATCTGTGTGGAGCTGGGGATTTAGCTCAGCGGCACAGCACCTGCCTGGCAAGTGCAAGGTCATGAGTTCAATTCCTGGTACCAGAGAAAAACCAAAAAAACCAAACCAAAACAAAACAATCTGTGGGTTGAATGCTGGAAGGGAAAAGGAATTAGGTTGGTAAAGGGGTGGAAGAGAACATTTTAGGTAGAGGAGCAGCATGAGCAAAGGCAAAGAAGCATGGAGTAGAACAGAACAGTGATAGATACCTCTGCAGCCTTTTCAGAAAACCTAATAATAGTAGAAAGCACAGTTAAGAGTGACAGGTGTTTTGGGAGTGTGTTTTGTGTACAAGTTTCTGTGCCTGTGAGGAATAAGTATAAAATGTGCCCGTGCTGATGGAAAACTTTGTGTTGATCTGTATTGCAAGACCTGTTGGAAGCTTTGTGTGCCTCTCAGGCAGAATGTGGTCATTCCTAATCGTGTGCATGTAGGATGGAAGTCTTACTCTAACGTTACGCTTACTTATTTTCATATTTCACTTGAGTAATAGCCCTAACTATGCCTTTGCTGATTTCCAGGGTATAGCACATACTAGGCTTTCGTTAAGTGTCTGATGGAGGACTGAAGGCATAGCTCTGTGGGAGAGCGCTTGCCTAGCGTGCATGAAACCCTGAGTTCATCCCCAGCTCTGCAGGGACTAAACACATAAGGGGAAAAGGGTGTTTGATGCTGAAACAAATGGGTAGTCATATCCAGCATCATCCACATTAAATAGAAATTGTGTTCAGCTTCTGTATCCTTTTCTCTTACAGCTGTTTGTAGTGGATGTTGAGACAAGCCAGATCACCAAGATCCCCATTTTGAAGGACCGGGAGCCTGGAGGTGTGACCCAGCAGGGTTGTGGCATCCATGCGATTGAGCTGAATCCTTCTAGAACGCTGTTAGCCACCGGAGGAGACAACCCCAACAGCCTTGCCATCTACCGGCTGCCCACACTAGATCCTGTGTGTGTGGGAGATGTAAGTTTCTCGGTAGTTGTGATTCAGAGGTAACCTTGCTCTGAAACAGGGACTAGTAGGTAACGTGGATCCTTTGTCTGCCAGGAGGGGAGTGGTTTCCCTTAGAGTTGTGTTGATTCTAGGAACATGAGGCGGTGGTGGTAGAGGAGGGCCTGGACTCCGTAGGGTATAACAGGGGTGCTGACGGGAGGGCGTATGTGTCATGAAGGTGCACGCTTGGGAGCCAAGAACAGTGGTTGCCGTTTCCATCCACAGTGTCCACGTGTCGCCCAGTGTAGAGTCAGAGAGCAAGTTCATTAAATCCTCTATTCAGCACCTCTGGAGTCTTCATTCAGGCATTGTTTTAGACCCTAGGGGACAGGGTGAATAAGACAGATAGCGCCCTTCCCCTCGAGAGCCTGCATTGTGATGAGGTGGCGTGTAAACCGTGTGAACCGGTGACTGTCTCCCAGCGCTGCGTCTGAGTGTGCTGTGTGCTGCAGAGCAGAGCAACGGCAGGGTAAAGGGCTAGAGAAGGGAGGTGACGTTGGGTCAGAGGATAGTCAGAAAGCCTCATTAAGAAGAGGATACTCGCTTATGTCAGTGATACTGGGATGCTGCTACTGTTCTATTTTTTTGTTTGTTTGTCATTTACTACTCTAAAATTTAAAAAAAAAGTAAAAAAAAAAAAAAAAGAAGAAGAGGATACTTGAGCAGGGACACTTAAGGAAAGGAGGCATAAGCCTTGTAAATGTTCCAGACAGAAGATAGGAAGGGGGCTGGGAATTTAGCTCAGGAGCACAGCGCCTGCCTGGCAAGCACAAGGTTGTGAGTTCGATTCCCAGTACCGGAAAAAAAAGAAGACACAAAGGAGCCTTAGACACCCAGAGGTAGAAAGGAAGAGCTGTGCATGCAAGGGACATGTTTGTTACCTGCAGTAGTACCCGTGTCTCCAGCTTTGACCCTCAAGAAAGACTGTGTGGCTGGGTACTGTGGCACATGGCCTGTAATTTGGTTGCTCAGGAGGCAAAGGCAAGAGGATCTAAAATTCAGGTCCAGCCTAGGCAATTTAACAAGACTCTTTCAAAACAAAACAAAATATAAACTGAGGTTATACCTGCAACCCCAGTACTCTGAGAGGCTGAGGGAAGAGGATCATGAGCTCAAGCCCAGCCTGGGCAGTTTAGCACCTTGGTGAGAGCCTATCTCAAATAGAAAAAATTTTAAAAGGCCCAGGAATGTAACTCAGTGTGAAAGCCCTGGGTTTCAATATGCAGTACCACCAAAAACAAAAGGTAAAGATTGGGGTTGAGATCACCAGTGACCACAGCTGTATTTTTTGTTTTGTTTTGTTTTTGTTTGTTTTGTTTTTCTTCCGGTACTAGGAATCGAACTCACGACCTTGCGCTTGCCAGGCAGGCGCTTTGCCGCTGAACTAAATACCCAGCCCCCACAGCTGTAATTTTTTTAAAGATATTTTCAGTCACACCTGAATGTTTCTCAAGAGAGTTCATTACAATCGTGTTTCACTGATTTATTTTTTGTTTCCCTCCCTGTACCTGTCATTCTTCCCTCCAAGGACGGACACAAGGACTGGATCTTTTCCATTGCATGGATCAGCGATACTATGGCAGTGTCTGGTAAAGTTACCTTTTTTAGGGAGCTTTTGGTGTGGCAGGGACATAGGGCCGGAGTTGGAGAAGTGCTAGTGGTATCTTAGGAAATAGGCTGGTAAACAGAAACACCAGGCATCCAGAGCACTGTGTCCAGCATTTGGACATGAGGCGGTGGTGGTAGAGGAGGGCCTGGACTCCGTAGGGTATAACAGGGGTGCTGATGGGAGGGCGTATGTGTCTCTTCCTCTGTCACCATGTAACTGGATAAGTCATTTCCCCTAGATCCTAATGTTCTTATCTGTGAAGCGGAGATGTTAGCATATTCATCTGCTCCTCATACTCTTACCTTGTGTTAAGAAGAGTGTCTCATAGCATGGCGTGGCTATAGCATGTTGTGGCTGGACATACTTCTGTTGGGCTTCACTGAGATTATCCTGGTGAATGTGTTTTGGAAATGTTGATGTGATCTCCAGAGTATTAGAAGCAGTTATTATCTGTACAGTTTCGTAGCATTAAATCTTGTATTGATAAAGCTGTATAGGACTCAGGGGATTTCTTCTCTAGTGGTTAGAAGAGTGGTGGGGAGGGGAGGGGATAAATGTGTGTAGAAAAATTAACCTAAAGAATCACAGATCCTTTCTGACTACTCTCAGAAGCCTAGAAAGTTGACTCAGAATGCTAAGCAGCTTTTCCGGATATCCATAGATAAAAGTATAGACGCCCTCATTTCAGATTCCCAAGAGAAATAGTCCGTGGTTACCAAACAGTACTTTACATGTGTAATTTCATAAAATCCTGAGGATAATACTAGGAGGTTTCACTAGTAGCTTCATATCATAGATGAGAACGTTTGTTTGCTTGTTGTCTTTTTGAGACAGAGTCTCACTACGTACTTCAGGCTGGCCTTCAACTCAGAAGTATTCCTCCTGCCTCAGCCTCCCACTGGCTAGCATTACAGGCATGCTCCTGCCTCAGCCTCCCACAGGCTGGCGTTACAGGTGTGGGTCACATCAGATGGGTTTCCTGTCATTTGATCTCCCCGTGGAGTGAGAGCTCCTTTTAAGGTAGAAGCGGAGTCTTGTCACACTTACGGGAGACCCTCACGTGAGAATAACTTGAGTATGTTTGGTGCATGGGAGCCAGGACTCAGGTTTGTTTTGAGAACCTCCAGTCTCTTCTTTCAGACACTCAGGGATACCTGTGTCCTTGGGCTGATAGCATCTGCATCTGCATTTCCAGAACAGTATAGGGGAGTTTAAAACATTAGCTGTGCCTCAAGCTTGCAGTCCTTCTGCCTCAGCCTTCTAGAGTATAGCAGTGACAGGCATAAGGCAGCACACCCAGTTCACTATGGATTTTTGGACAGAAACTCGCCATGTCAGCATGGCGAACCTTTTGGAACTTTCAGTGGTAATAAACAGCCGTGTATGGCGTGCATGCCATAGCTTTGCCACCACTGCAACTGTGTATTGTAGAGTGGCCTCAAAGTCACAGTCCTCTTGCCTTAGCGTTCTAAGTCCTAGTACTATAGGTATGAGCTACCATACCCAGCTAATACTAGCTACTCATTTGAGGGGAGGGGATACTGGAAATTGAACTCAGGGCCTTTGCACTGAGCTACATCCTCAGCTCTTTTTAAAAAATGACTTTGATAGAGGAAAATGATGGTGACCCTGTGGCACGTGTGCCACAGCAGGCTGTTTGTTCTCTTTGAAAGCTCTAAAACGTTTGCCATCACTGATCCAGAGTCTCGCTAAGTTACCCAGACTGGGCTTGGACTTGTGATCGTGCTGCTGACATTACAGATGTGCGCCACCGTGCCCTGCTTATTTGCTGCTCTTGACATTCAGCTGGAGATGAGTATTATCCCATGAACGCTGTACCTCAAAGTCAGTATGTCAGGTCCCAGGTCTTGGCCCTGCTGGCCATGGAGGTGTGTTGGCTCATGCTCCCAGCTTCCAGCTATGTCCACAGCCAGAGAACTCAGACTCATCTTAGGGGTGGAGGGTGTTGCTCAGTGGTAGAACACTTGCTTAGTGTGCGTGAGGCCTTAGGTTCAATTCCTAGCACTACCAAAAAGAAAAAGAAAAAACTAACACTTAATTTTAGGCTCTTCAGTCTCCTTAGATTACCAAACCATGTTGATAGCTATTTTTTAAAATATCCATCCGTTTCTTTTCTGTCTTCTCAAGTGCTCATCCTCTACCCTTGAGTTACGCCAATGCCCTTTTCTATTTTCTGTTTCTACTCTTCCCTACACCTATCCAGTCTGCATCTGGCTGCCAAATGAGTACTTTAAGTAATTGTCTCCAGCCGGGTGTGGGTCGTGCTCTCATATGATCCCAGCATTCGGGAGGCTCAGGCAGGAGGATTGCAACAAATTTGAGGCTACCCTGGGCTACATAGTGAGTTCAGAGCCAGCCTGAACTACATAGTGAGACCTGTTGTCTCAAAAAGGCAAAAAGAAAGAGAGATCGATTGATTGATCAGTATCGATATCCTACTAGCTTTTCTCTTTTTTTTTTCAGTACCCGGAATCGAACTCACAGCCTCATGCTTGCCAGGCCTAATAGATTTTCTTTTAGTGGTTTTTTTTTTTTTTTTTTTTTTTAGTTGCAGTATGGATCATAAAATCCAAAGGCCTTCACTGAACTCACATCCTCATCAATTTTACTTTGTTTTGCTTTATTTGGTTTTATTTCGGTTTTGTTTATTGGAGGGTTGTTGAGACAGGGTCTCACTGCATAGTTCAGGCTGGGCTTGTACTCACTGTGTAGCCCCAGCTGGCCCAGGCTGACCAGGGTCCTGAGTGCTGGGATTACAGGCATACGCCACCACGCCCAGCTATTTATTTTGAGACAGGTTCTTGCTGTGTTGCTCTTGCTGGAGTTTTATATTTTTCCGCCTCAACCTCCTAAATAGCTGGGCTTACGGAAATGCACCACCACAGCTGACAGCACATACCGCAGGTACTAAGGAGGCTGAGGCAGGAGGATCGCAAGTTCAAAGCCAGCCTGGACAATTTAACAAAACCTTGTCTCAAAGAAATTAAAAATAAAATAAGAGCTGGCAGTGTACTGCAGTGATACTACATTTGCTTGATGGTCTAGGTCCTGGGTTCAATCCCCACTACAGCGCCCACCCCAAGAAAAACAGATTGAGATCACATAGAGGGGTAGATACATGGATAGGTATGTGATAAAGCAAGTATAATAAAACGTTAGTAGTAGAGTAAGTAGACAGGTAATCACTGTAAAGTTCTTTCTGTATCTCAGTATGCTTAATTTCTTCTTGTTTTTCTCTTTTTTTAGTGCACATGCTAGGCAAGTTCACTATCACTGAGCTACTCTGCCAACCCTGATATCTTTTTCATAATAACTCTTTGAGGGGAAAAATGAGATCCCATTGGACGCAAACAGATCTTCTGTTAGCCTGGATGGATAGCCCAGTGGTAGAACACTTATGTGGCATGCACAAGGCCCTAGATGTGGCATGCACAAGGCCCTAGGTTTGATGCCTAGCACCATAAAAATCATCATCACCTTCTCACGACCTCGCACTTGCCAGGCAAGCGCTGTGCCACTGAGCTATATCCCCAGCCCCATCATCACCTTCTCAACAAACACAGTTATCTAATTAGCTCACCTTGAAGCGTAAATCTTTTTTTTTTTTTTTTGGTCTTTTTGAGACAGGGTCTCACTATGCGGTTCAGACTGGGCTTAAGCTCACTTTGTAGCCCAGGCTGGTCTCGAACTCACAACAGTCCTCCTGCATAGCCTCCTGAGTGCTGGGATTATAGGTTTGCACCACCATGCCTGGCCTGAAGATCAAATCTTGGAGTGACTTTCTTAAGTACTAGGGATTGAACCCAGGGCCTCACACAGTAGGCAAGCACTGTACCACTGAGCTATGTCCCTAGCACTATTCTTTGACTTTCTAGTATCTGTAGTATAAAATGCAAACCTTGTAGCAGATATACAAGAACTCCGGCTATGCATGGTGGTACAGGCCTATAATCCCAGCACTTAGGAGACTGAAGCAGGAGGATCACTGTGAGTTTGTGGCCAGCCTGGGCTACAAAATGAGTTCAAGTCCAGCCTGAACTGTGAAATCGTGTCTCAAAAAGACAAAAAAAAAGAACTCTGCCCACCTTTTGCGCTTTTCCTCTGATAGCTTCCGTGCCTGTACCACATATGTTAGCATGATGAACCATTTGTAGTTCTCCAGGTGTACGTTTGTTCTCTTTCTGGCCTTTTCTAGATTTTCACATGTAGTGAACCCTCTGCTTTGTTTTTTGTTTTTTGGGTTTTTTTGTCTTTTTTCATTTTTGTTTTTTGTTTTTGTCTTTTTTTGAGACAGGGTCTCCCTGTGTACTTCAGGCTCGCCTTGAGCTCACTTTGTAGCCCAGGCTGGCCTCAAACTCACAACAATCCTCCTGCCTCAGCCTGCCAAGTGCTGGGATTACAGGCGTGCACCACCACGCCCGGCCTCCTCTGCTTTGAACCCCTGCCCACAAGCCCTATGCAAACAAATTGGGTAATGTACCTCCCCATGTTAGACAGCTCTTGCTGTGAGTCACTCAGGATATCGCAGCATGGGAGGGGCAGCTTCTCGTCTTAAAGCAGAGCTGGCAGATAATTTTGCTGGAGGTGGTTTTTATTGTGTTTGTTTTTTGAGACAAGGTCTGTAGTCAGGCCATCTTTAAACTCCCTGTGTTCTGGCTGGTCTTGAACTCACCGTCCTCCTGCCTCAGCCTCTCAAAAGATGAGATGATAGAAATATACCACCACATCTGCTTTGGAAAAGGAATTTTTTAAAGTAGAAGTCTTTAATAGAACTTTTTTTTAATAGCTACTGCAGATACTCTTATCTGTCTGTTTATTTTGAGACAGGGTCTCCCTGTGTAGTTCAGGCTGGCCTTAAGTTCACTGTGTAGCCTAGGCTGGACTCGAACTCACAGTGATCCTCCTACCTCAGCTTCCCCAGTGCTGGGATTATAGGTGTGTGCTACCACGCCCATCTGGAAAGGAAATTTTATTTATTTATTTTTAAACATTATTTTTGCCTGGCATGGTAATCCTGCTACTTGGGAGACTGAGGCAGAAAGATTTACAAGTTCAAGGCCAGCTGGGCACCTTAGCAAGGTCTTGTCTTAAAATAAAATAAAAAAGGAATGTAGTTCAGTGGTAGAGCAGTTGTTTAGCATCGTGGTGTCCATCCTAGTACTAAAACTAAAAAACTATTCGTTTGTTTGTTTTTGGTACTGGGGATTCAGTCTAGGGCTTTCATAACACTTAAGCTACACCCCAGCCTTTTTCTTTGAGATAGGGTCTGGCTGAATTGCCCAGACTAAGGCTGGGGATACAGCTCAGTGGCACAGTCCCTGCTCAATTGCCCAGACTGGGTTGGAGGTGGTGATTCTTTGCTACCACCTCCCAGAGGGATTATAAACATGTGACACCATGCCTGGATGAAGCAGTCATTCTAAATAAGGGAATTGCAATCTCTGTATCCATGGAATGCTTTAAGGAAACACATGGATTTCCTTAAATGTAAAATGTGATTTACTAGGGCCTGGGTATGTAGCTCAGAGGTAGAGTACTTAGTCCGTGAGGACCTGGCTTAGATCCCCAGCACCATGAAAAGAGCAAGCGGGATGAGAAGAGGATGGGGAGAAGGGAATGAGGACAAGGGGAGGAGGAGGAGGAGGTGTTTCTCTAGAGACAGAGGTCTGGCTGGATGTGGTGGCGCATGCCTGTAATCCCAGCACTCCGGAGGCTGAGGCAGGAGGATCGTTGTGAGTTCAAGACCAACCTGGGCTACAAAGTGAGCTCAAGGCCAGCCTGAACTGCACAGCAAGACCCTGTCTCAAAAAGACAAAAGAAAAAAAATTCCACTAATCACGTTGAACTGCTGAAACATTATATTTTAACTCCTAGACCTTAGTTGAATCATTTTAAATAACTTAAAATTACTCCTGCCAGCTATGGCTGTAACTCACTGGTAGAGCACCTGCCTGGCATTTGTAAAGCCTCTGTTTGTACCCCAACACCACCCAGAAATAGTACAGAAGTGCCTACTCTGCTGTCATCTGGCCAGGATGCAGTAAGGTAAGGGTGGCGCCGAGAACGGAAGTCCATCCTGGCCTTCTGCAGAAGTGCCCGTGCAGGTCTGAACAGATTGGACATCTGTGGTCTTCTCTCTGCAGGCTCACGCGACGGTTCTATGGGACTCTGGGAGGTGACCGATGACGTGTTGACCAGAAGCGATGCAAGGCACAGTGTGTCACAGGTCCCTGTGTACGCTCACATCGCTCACAAGGCCTTGAAGGACATCCCAAAGGAGGACACAAACCCTGACAACTGCAAGGTCCGGGCTTTGGCCTTCAACAGTAAGAACAAGGTACGAAGTCGCAGAGGGGTCTGTGAGGCGTTCTCTTAGCCCGTGTCTCAGGTGCATGCCCTTCCCACCCACGTCCGTGCTTGCCGGGTAGCTTGGTTCTGCGTCCACAGAGCAGCTGTGAGAGGCCGTGTGATGCTAGTAAGAAATCCCGAGACGGAGGCCCGCCCTGAGCGTCTGCAGTGTTTCTCTCGTGGGCCATCTTCTTGGGTCAGCCTTGGAAGTTCCCCTGGGCCCCCCGACTTCACTGTCCTCAGTTGCGTGTGTCCCTGCGTCCCCCCTATTTTACTTGCCTCTAAAAGCAGTCCTCACAGTTCAGCCCCTGTTCCTTTTCACTGCCTCTCTTAGCACCGTCACAGTCCTACCTAATCACTGTGGTACGTCTCCTGACACCAGGGTTTTGAGTGTGGGAAGGTAGATCGGAGCAGGAAGAGGAGAAAGGCTTCTGTAAAACCTGCACCGTGTCACAGTTGAGGGGTGGTTTTCTTAGCCTCCTGTCTCCCATCCGTATTTCTGCTTGAAGGTAAATTTCTCTCTTCCAGATTAGACCCCTTACTTACAGCTCTCTCCCTGAGACTGAGGCCCCTGACCTTCGGTTGTGTGTGCTGCTTTAACAGTCCAGCAGGATATTGGGAATGATGGCATAGTGAGGGCTTTTGGAACGTGGGTACCTGGGTTATTGCTAGAGCCTGGGGTTCTTTCTTGCAGTTGAATATGCTGTGATCCATAGGCTAATAATTACGGACAGACCTTCGGAAATCACCGTGACATAGGAGTAAAGGAGGGGACTCTGATCTTCAGGGTCTTCCCTGGCTTTTTTTTTTTTTTCCAGCACTGAGAGCTGAACTCACAACCTTGTGCTTGCCACTAAGCTATATCCCTGACCTTTTCCTTGCTTTCTGTTATACCTTAGCTGCTACAGATTGGGACATAACTGTGTTTCATTGCTCTTGTAGGAACTGGGAGCAGTATCTCTGGATGGCTACTTTCATCTCTGGAAGGCTGAAAACACATTGTCCAAGGTATGGTAAACATGTCTTAGTACTTTAACATAACAATTTACCTTAGGGGCTGAGGATTTAGCTCAGCGGCAAAAGCGCCTGCCTGGCAAGCGCAAGGTCGTGAGTTCGGTTTCCGGTACCGGAGAAAAACCAAAAAAAAAAAAAAAAAATTTACCTTGTAGCTAAAATACTCAGGGCTGGTGTATAGCTCCGTGGTAGAGTACTTGCCTAGCATGTAGAAAAAGCCTTGGGTTTGGTCCCCAGCACTCCAAAGTAATGATTTTCCTTGAGCCTTTTCATTCTAATTTAAAACACCCAGTCTCCCAAGCTCCTGGCGTAGTGCATGAAATTCAAGAGTCTAGCATGCCTCTCTTTTTTTGGCACTGGGAATCAAACTCAGGACCTTGCATTTGCCAGGCAGGCATGGTGCCCTGAGCTGTATCCCTGGTCCCATGGCATGCCTCTCTTGAAGGAAAGTCTTTTTAAAGAGATTGGAAGAGCTGCGTACAGTGACACATGCCTGTAATCTCATCACTTGGGAGGCTAAGACAGGAGCATTTTGAGTGCTGCCAGAGCAATTTAGCAAGACCCTGTTGTAAAAATAATCTTTAAATGGGGCTGAGAAGCAGGGCATGTTGGCACACAGCTATAATCCCAGCACTCAGGAGGCTTGAGGCAGGATTGCCGCAAGTTCCAGCCCAGTGTGGGCTACATAGTGAGTTAAAGGCCAGCCTGAACTACTTAGCAAGACCATCTCAAAAACAAAACAAAAAGAAAACCGTGGGGCGTGGTGGTGCACGCCTGTAATCCCAGCACTTGGGAGGCTGAGGCAGGAGGTTTGCCACAACTTCAAGGCTAGTCTGGACTGCATAGTTCAAGATCAGCCTGAATTATATAGCAAAACCCTACATCAAAAACCACAAAAACAAAGAGGGGATGCAGTGGCTGAGAATGTACCTCAGTGTAGGCGCTGGATTCACTCCCTTGTGCTACACGGAAGAAAAAGGATAGGAAGAGGTTATTCTAAGAGACTGCCTTAACGAGCAGTCCTCTAGCCCACAATATATTTAAATATCGATTATTGACTGGTGTATTATTAAGGCAGGAAAACCTAAATGTGAGGAGCACTAGTGGCTGAAGACACACCGTGTCTGAAGTAATGGTGTGCGAGGGTGGGATGACTGACTTAATGTACAGGTGCTGCGAGTAGCTCTTTCCTGGAGTTAAACCTACGTGTGTACCACTTGCGCTTACCGCTCCTCAGAGGCCCTGACTGTGTGCCGCCCCCAAGGCTTTTTCTCAAGAGGAAGCCGGGCTGGGTGTGGGGACACAGCGGTAAGGGCAGCGTTACCCAGTTTGGGGTGCTCTCATCTTGGTCTCCAGGTCCTTGTGTAGAACGGTGAATCGAACAAGACAAGCAAAAATGATAGCAGAGTGTATTTGAAAAAGTAAAAGTACAGGGTAAGGGAGAAGCAGGCACTGTGGAGTGAACCTGGGCCAGGTGAAGGGAGGAAGGACGTACACCTTCAAGAACAGAGCGGGCTACCATGAGGAGAGCCACAGCAGCAAGCTCTTCAAAGCGTCTGTGTCCATTTATGCCATCCACACCTCACAGGAGCCCTGCCAGAACTTCTGCATACGGGGTGCGGAGAGGTAGGGCTGGGTGGGTTCTAGGACCCCGCCACACCTCTCTTCCCAGCCAGTCTAGTGCATGCCGTTTCCTGTTTCAGTAACAGGGGTCTAAGGCAGGAGTGATGGAATGCCAGCCTGGGTTGCATAGTGAGTTCAAGGCCAGTCTGGATTAGTGGTATGAGACCTTACCTCAAAAACAGGAGCTAGCGGGGCATGGTGGCGCACGCCTGTAATCCCAGCACTCCGGAGGCTGAGGCAGGAGGATCGTTGTGAGTTTGAGACCAGCCTGGGCTACAAAGAGAGCTCAAGGCCAGCCTGAACTGCATAGCAAGACCCTGTCTCAAAAAGACCAAAAAAAAAATAGAGCTAGAGGTGGTGGCACATGCCTGTAATCCCAGCACTCATGAGGCTGAGGCAGGAGGATCACTGTGAGTTTGAGGCCAGTCCAGGCTACGTAGTTCGAGGCCAGCCTAAACTGCATAACAAGACCCTGTCTCAAAAACACACAAAAAAAGTCTTAGAAATGAGCCCCAGATTCAAATTGTTGGTGCCAGAAAGAATGCTTTCAGACTGGAAGCAAAAGAACTTGACAAGGCAAAATTTAAAACTTAATTCTGCAGAAGGGCATGAGTGTACGCTGACACAAGGCAGCAGGTGGGGCAGGGCGGCTGTTTAAGCCCTCACTCCTGGAAAGCAGCTGTCCTTTAAATTCATTGGCCGTATTCAGAGGCTTGCAATCTACGGCAATTGGCTAGTTTAAGCTGCGCAAGGAGAGGGTCTGAAGGATTGCGGAAGGTGAGGAAGAGCGGAAGGGGACACAGAGTCTTTGGCTGTTGCTAAGCTGTCCTGGTCTGTAGCTGTTTCCAGAGTTTAATCAGGATGGCCGAGCAGTCTAAGACGCTGAGTTTAGAATTTCAAGTGAGCAGGCGTTCCCTATACTTCAGTGTGTCGTGGAGAGGCCGCCTAGGGTGGACTAGGGTCTAAGGTGGAGGCACTCCTGTTTATATCCTGTGAAAGAAGGCAGGGCCAGAGCTTCGCACAAGGGAAGCAGGGCCCTGGGAAGTGCTGACTCTATGCCACGGCAGCTCTGCGCTTCTCTGACCTTGCACGGTGTCTCATGCACTAGGCCCCGACTGACAGTTTGCTGAGTGACGCGGAGCTAGGTTAACCCAGGCCTATGCGTGTGCTTTTTGTTATGTACAATTGCCATCCAACCGGGAGCTGGGCTGAGGGTGGCCTGAAGTCAGCCCCTGTATCTGAAGAGAAGGGTCCTGCGGACAGAGCAGGGTGGAACCTCGGCTTTAATGTCCTTTGGTTATTCCTGGAAACAACCCGTGGTCTTTACCATCACTGGCCTTTTCATTATTTAGTTCCAGGGTTACTTTTCTCCCTAATCAGAGGTTGCTTTTTATAAAATTTGTTTATTTATTTATACTGGGGATTGAACCCAGGACCTTTGCACTAAGCCACATCCACAGCCTATTTTTTTCCTCTGTTTTTGTTTTTGTTTTGGAGACAGGATTGCTAACTCACTGAGTAGTTGCCCAGGCTGGGCTTGCACCCTTAATCCTCCTGCCTCAGCCTCCTAGAGTGCTGGGATTACGAGTGTGTGCCACCACACCTAGCAGGTTATTTCCTTACTCAGGTTTGTCTTCTCTGAGCTCATGTGGCTGCGATGGAGGAAAATCCACAGAGGTGGGAGCCCAAGCAAAAAGCTCCTGCCTTACGTACCGTGCTACATCTCTCTCCACTCTTTCCAGCTCCTCTCCACCAAACTGCCGTACTGGCGGGAGAACGTGTGTCTGGCCTATGGCAGTGAATGGTCAGTATATGCAGTGGGCTCCCAAGCTCATGTCTCCTTCTTGGATCCACGGCAGCCCTCAAACAACGTCAAGTCTGTGTGCTCCCGGGAACGAGGCAGTGGTAAGTCCCGGCGTGTCCTTGTGGACCAGCAGATGCACTGCAAACATATCTTGCCCTTCAGTGTCTGTGTTGGTTTCCAAACAAGTACAGTGATGGATGTGTAACATGGAAGTGCTCGTTAGCTCAGAGGGGAGCTTCAGTACTTGTATATGGCAGCAGAGTTTCGGATACCACAGGCGCTTGTGCTGCAAACCACCAGTCAGGACATTAGTAGTTTCAGCAGTTGGAAGTTGGCAGGTGGAGAGGCAGGTTGGGAGGGCAGTCGGGGAGGAGGCGGAGGACTGGGCGGAGCAAGCGTCGGTGAGCCTCGAGCCTCAGGGAGATGAGTTTGTCTGTCTGCAGAGGGGTTAGGGTTCTGGTCCGCTGGAGCTACACCCATGGAAGTGGGAGGCGCCCGGGACTTTAACCCCTCTTGCGCTCTGGCTGGGACTTGGCTCAGCGTCATCAGGGGTTTCAACCCCTTCTGGCCCTCCCGCCATCAGATGACCTTGACACCTGGGAGGGCCCAGCGCTGCTGGCTCCATGCTTTTTAACCCCTTCCCAGCACAACCTGAACTGCAGAGCAAGACTGTGACTCAAGAAGAAAAAAAAATACTAAAAACATCCTTTAGGCACATTTACAGTATGCTTGAAGGTCCCAAAATACCTTTTTCTAAGCCATATGCACTTGGGAGGCTGAGGCAGGATCACTGTTGAGTTCCAAGACAAGCCTGAACTACCCGAACCTGTAATCCCAGCACTCAGGAGGCTGAGGCAGGAGGATCCTTACGAGTTCGAGACCAGTCTGGGCTCCAAAGTGAGCTCAAGGCCAGCCTGAGCTGTATATCGAGACCCTGTCTCTAAAAGCCAAGACAAGCCTGAACTACATAGCAAGACCCTGTTTTTTTTTTTTTTTTTTTTTTTGTCTTTTTGAGACAGGGTCTTACTATGCAGTTCAGTCTGGCCTTAAACTCACAACGATCCTCCTGCCTCAGCCTCCCAAGTGCTGGGATTACAGGCGTGTGCGAACACGCCCAGCCAAGACCCTGTTTCAAAAACAACAGATTGGGGATGTAGCTCAGCAGCACAAGCGCCTGCTTGGCATGTGCAAGGTCCTGGGTTTGACTCCCGGCACCCAGAACGACAACAAAACCACAAAATACCTTTTTCTGACGTCTCATTTCATCCAGTTGAGAATCCGTTGGGAAGCAGGTAAGAAAAGAAGTATGTAGGTCTTCCCGGCCGGGTCTTCTGAGTGCTGGAATTGCAGGTGTTTCTCACTGTGGCTTCACGCCGCTTGATGAGGCCCAGCCAGGGATTGGCGTCTGGATCATCCAGTTCAATGAAGTATTTTCTTACCTCACTGTTTTGCCCCCTCTCCTGTGTTGTGTTTTGTTTTGCTGTGCATTACTGGGAATTTAATCCAAGCAGCACTGAACTATAGCCCTAGCCCTTTTTGGCTTTTTTTTGTTTTTCCTTTTGAGACCCAGTGGGCTCAAACTTAGAATCCTCCTTCCTCAGCCTCCCAAGTAGCTGGGGTTACAAACAGTGCATCTCCAAGCTGCCTATTTATTTTTTTAGACAGGATCTCACTATGCAGCTCAGACCTCAGACTCACATCCTCCTATCTCAGCCACCTGAGTGCTGGCATTTCAGGCTTGCCCCACCATACCCAGCTCTTATTTTACACTTTTTTTTTCTTTTTGAGACACGGTCTCACTATGCAGGGCAGGCTGGTCTTGAACTCACTTTGTAGCCCAGGCTGGTCTCGAGCTTGCAGCGATCCTCCTGCCTCAGCCTCCCTCTTATTTTAAATGATATTAAGACACTCACATTCTAGAACAGAAAATAACGAGTAATAGTGAAAGTAGGAGGGGCTGGATGATGTACGTAATGAAACATTTAAGAGATTGTGGTCATTATTATTGTTAGCTTTAGACCTAAGGAGAGCACGCTGTTTCCGCAAATACGTTCAGGTGCTGTGATGTGCCAAGAGCTGTTCATTTGATTTTTACGGCAGATGTAGTTTCCTAATGACCCAGAGTGAAGTCACACGTCTTAAACTCGCCTGTGAGCAAAGTGCCCACGGGGTGCGTGAGTGCCAGGCTTTTGTGCCACCATCCTGACACACTTAGTAGCCCAAAAAGACTCTCAGTACCGTGCTGGTGCCTCCAGGGCAGATGCGGGACGCTTACTGAGGTAAGACTTGTAAGTGTACAGATTATCCTGAGCCGCAGAATGGGCTGGTAGCACTTCATGGACAAGAACTTACAGTTACGGAAGATAGCTCCACAGTGGCTCGGGGAGACAAGGAAGCTCTGGACACACATGAGCTCGCTGGCATCGTGAGAGCCTAGCTTAGTGGAGGGTTGTCCGAGGGCTCCTGTCAGTGAGCGTGAGTGCACTTAGCCTGTGGGCAGCACCTTCTGACAGCGGGGTGTGCAGCGCAGACTGCGCGGGAGAAGTTCAGTCCGACAGACTTCCGGGCGTGTACTCTCTTCCCTCACTGCCCTTCACTTTTCTTTCCCAGGGATCCGGTCAGTGAGCTTCTATGAGCACATCATCACCGTGGGCACAGGGCAGGGCTCCCTGCTCTTCTATGACATCCGAGCCCAGAAATTCCTGGAAGAGAGGCTCTCAGCCTGTTGTGGGTCCAAGCCCAGGCTAGCCGGGGAAAATCTGAAACTAACCACTGGCAAAGGTTGGCTGGTGAGTAAGCCCTCGCTTGAGGTAGTTGCTGGGCAGTCACAGAAAGGCGTCCTCCCTGCAGCACCCACGCCTGCCCCGCCGACAGGCCACCCTGATTTTGCTAGTAAGAGCCACTCCATGGTGCCAAGAAAGACACTTCCCCTGAATTTTGCTTTTGTGTACGTGTTGCCCATGGGAAAACAGAGGCCCGGTGACATACACTGGGCTCCTCCCAGTGGTAATATAGTAAGAAATACAGTTACACGGCTGCGGATACAGCTCAGCTCCACAGCACCTGCCTGGCAAGCACAAGGTCCTGAGTTTGATTCCTGGTACCAAAAAAAAGAAAAGGAACTTCCTGCCATGGGTGTCAGTGAGTTACACAGTTTGGCTCCAACTGTTTTAAGAAGACCTGCGCTTTGTGTAGCAGTTCTGCAGCCTGCTGAGTTCCTCTCTGGTGTTTACTTGGAGAAGTGAGGTCCTGTTCCTTTGAGAACCAATCTCCTTGCATCAGCTGAGAGCTGGAGGGCTCTAGGAGACCAGAGAGCATCCCCGCTCCTGCCTGTACCTTCCCGCCCCACAGCCCAGAGCTCCAACCCTTTCTTCCTCTTCCCACAGAACCATGACGAAACCTGGAGGAACTACTTTTCGGACATCGACTTCTTCCCCAACGCCGTCTACACCCACTGCTATGACTCGTCCGGAACGAAGCTCTTCGTGGCAGGAGGCCCCCTCCCATCAGGGCTGCATGGGAACTACGCTGGGCTCTGGAGTTAATGACCGCCGACTTCTCCCAGAATGCAGATTTACACTAACATCCGCCCTCTGTTCCTCCCTCTTCGGATTTGCTTTTCCCCCGTTGTGTGAGGCTCTTCTGTTTTAGTGGAAGCACCACGTTTGCCAGTGGCTTAAGCACCCAATAGGAAGACAGTTTGTACAGAAACCCAGAGGGTGTTTCTTACTGGTTTTTTTTCTTCTTTTTCCATCTGCTACTCTGTTTTATTGTCACTTTTTTCCTTTCTAACTTCTCTACCAAACGTCAAAAGTCTTGTTTGTATTTTTCCTTAAGTGACACATCCTCTTCCCTCTTTGGCTTCATTCAGCTGAAATGACATGGTCATTCTCACCCTTACCTCGCTCTTAAGAGGTGGGGTCCTTTATAATTACGAGGTAGCTGTCAGACTTTCTGTGAAAGCCTGGGAGCTGTGTGTGTGCGCGCGCGTGTGCGTGTGAACTTGTGTGCCTGTAGGTACTGTGTCACTGAAGTTACCTGGAGTGAGGAGTACTTGTAATTAAAATATTTATAAAAGAAACAACTTTATTCAGAGTCCAGCTTTGGGGCTAGTCTCTATCTTGTTTTCTAAAGTCTAACAACATGATAGTAGAAAGTAAAGCCAGAAAAAAGTCACTACTGGTAATACTCTGAGTTAGAATTCAGAGTGCTTGGGGATTTCCACGCCAGGACTCTAGTGATCTACGCCCTCCTGCTTCACACCCGTGTGTCCCCAAGAGAGTGCGCTTCGGTGTACTCACAGCTTGATGAGGCTCAGCCAGGGGTCAGTCGCTTCCGCTCGCACCCTCCCATCTGTTTAGTGGCCATTTCTCTAAAACATTATTAATGCAGCTTTGGAGGCTGTAGAAAGATTTGGCAAAGAGAGTAGCAGCCCACGCTTAGGAGGCTGAGGCAGGATTGTTGCGAGTTCGAGACCAGCCTGGGCTACAAAGTGAGCTCAAGGCCAGCCTGAACTGCATAGTGAGACCCTGTCTCAAAAAGACCAAAAAAAAAGAGAATTGCATCCCAGTCTTCCTCTCCCTACCCTCAAGTAAGACACAGCTGGGGGCAGTGGGCAGATCTCAAGTGTGTGAAGATTCCCGTGCATAGTCCTCTTAGCTTTGAGCAGAAACTTCTCTACCGTTCTTCCAGTCTCCCCGTGGGTTTTGCTGCTGTCTTCTAAGTGGGGTTCAGTGCAGGAGCGGGGGTATCTGTGTGTAGTGAGTGCTTCATGTGTGGAGTGTTTGTTTTCTCGACGCTGCAGAGCTTAGGGCTGGAGTCATCTCCCCTGTTGGCGCAGCCCCGGTGTGGTGAGGTGGCCTGCAACCAGCGTGGTGTGTGGAGCACCATCGGTACGGTAGTGACATGTCTGTGCCTCCCTGAACTGTGTAGTCTGCGGTTTTTAAACTTGCAGGTGACTGTGATGTCCAGTTCCCTGCTTTTTATACATCATACTGAAGAAAGGCCTGTTCCTACTCACAGATCCTCTACGCCAGTACGCTGCTTCTGTGTCAGTCGCCCGCCCTGGGGAGTGGAGAAGTCACACTTGTGCCTGTACCCCAGTGTCGTCGTTGCTCTCACAGTTCCCCCTCCTCTCGGGGTGTAAGGGGGGCGTCGGAAGAAGAGTCTGCTTGGTACTGGCCAGGGCTGCTGGCGGGTGGGCGGCCTGTCCTGCCGGGGCGGCACGCAGCGTACACCGCTCCTTCTCACCTTCTAACCTAGAGAAATAGGTGCTATCAACAAGGAATTAAGCAAAATGCTGGATGCTGGAAATCTTTTGTCTTAATTTTTTTTCTATTATTAAACTACGGGCTGTAGATTTCTTAGTTCTCACAGAACTTCTATCATTTTAAACTGACTTGTATATTTTAAAAAAAACCTTAAGTAGGATGTTTTGTACTGTTGTCAGACCCTCCTCTGTGATGGGTAATGTGTTTGATCATTTGAGATTTTCTGTTTTTAAAAATGTAGCAGTTGAATTTTTGCCAAGGAAAAAATAAATATGACTCCAGTGCAGAGTGGTCCGAGTGAGTCTGTGTGGCCTGGGGCTGCCTGGGACGTGGCTGGAGGTGCGCTTCGGTCCTTGGGCTGTAGGGGGCGCAGGTCCCCTGCGGGCTGGTGAGGCCTGCTTTGTGCTGGTGCCCAGCCCTGGCCCAGCGCCTGTAGCTCTGGGACCCGCTTGAGCACAGCCACGCCCAGGGCAGTAGTGTGCCTGACAGAAGCCACTGGCTGAGCGTGGCGAGGGAGGGTGCTTGTCCCTGAAGTGCTTTGCTTTGTTTTTTGTTCTTGTTCCTTTGAGAGGGTCGTGGTGTGTGTGCAGGTGGCCGTGAGCTCCCTGTGCAGCCCAAGTCCCCTGGCTTCAGCCTCCTAGGTGCTGGGATTACAACTATCCCCAGCCACACCTGGCTCTTCGGCTGTGGATCTGAGCAAGGTGCTAGCTCCTCTTACACAAGTTAGGGTTCGTTGATAGGTCCTACCTCAGTGGTGACATCTCAAGGATGGCTGTGGGGTGACTCCGCGGTGCCCTGGGAACAGGGTGCCATTTTTCACAGCGGCAACCTCGCTGCCCTTTGTGAAGGGTGGACGCGGAGGTCACGCTGATGCTCCCGGAGCCTGTGCGGGGCTGTAGCTGAGAGTGGCTGAGTGCTGACGCGCACAGCCCGCGCCGAGCACCGGGCTGCGGAGCCTGTGCCTGCTCCCTGCCAGGTGGCCCGTGTTCTTCCCCAGGGCAAGCAGGCTCCTGCGGCTCTTTGCGCCGGCCTTAGAGAACTGGCCGGTTTAGACCACGGGCCCCTCTGTAACCAACGCTGTAAGACAGGAAGGGGAGTGAATGGGCTGAGGCAGGTTGGTTTTTTTTTTTGGTACCAGGAGTCAAACTCAGGACCTGACACTTACCAGGCAGGCGCTTGTGCCCCTGAGCTGTATCCCCGGCCCAGAGGTGAAGCAGTTTGAGAGGGCTTCCCGGGGAGGTTGTATCCGGCCAGGGACGGAGCAGGCTTTCTGTAACCAGGCCCTAGAGTATTGGTGCTTCCACAGTGTTCCATTGTCTGGGGAAGCACAGACAGAAACAGAAACGCCACTGCGCTTTGGGAGTGACTTCTGGACTCCGCTGCCTGGAACTGGCGCAGACAGGGGAGGCAGGTGGACCAGCCTGGCCGGCGGGGGCGTGGAACCTTGCCCCTATTTTCTAGCCACATTTTCTAGCAAAATAAATATCTCAGAAGGGCTTTCTGCACTGTATGGTATCCCTTGCCTCCCAGCAGCCCTTTCTCCCGGGCCGGCCCGGGCCAGGCTGTGAAAGAACCTCTGTTTACTCGGACTACATACTCGTGCCTCATTTCAAATAGTCCACTGGCTCCTGCCAGCATTGTTTGGGTTGGTTTTGTTGTTGTTGTGCTTTTTTTTGTCTTTTTGAGACAGGGTCTCACTATGCAGTTCAGGCTGGCCTTGAGCTCACTTTGGAGCCCAGGCTGGTCTTGAACTCGAAATGATCCTCCTGCCTTGGCTTCCTAGGAGTGCTGAGTGCTGGGATTGCAGGCATGCGCCACCATGCCCAGCATTGTTTGGGTTCTTTCCAGGCTTTGGTACTGAAGTGAATTCCTAGCCGGTTAAGTCTCATTAACATTATGGTCCCCCGGTCCTCTGTCACTGTCGTTATTTTAACATTTTTTTGAGATGGTCTCTAAACTCCTGGGCTCACGCAGAACCTTCCACCTCAGGCTCCAAAGCATATGCTCCTTGCTGCACTCTTAGGTGGTTGCTGCGGAATTGCCGGGCACAATGGCACACATGTATAATCCCAGCACTCGGAGGCTGAGGCAGGAGAATTGCAAGTTTGAGCCCAGCCTGGGTAATTTAGTGATATAGCGAACCCTGTCTCAAACAAAAACCTTAGTACAGAGCCCCTGGATTCAATCCCCAGTGTCCCCCATCCAGTGGGATTATTGGTCTGATTCTGGAGCAGAGCTCAAGTCTAGTCTTTTTTTATCCAGCTACCATCCAGATAATTCCTAGTGCAAGCACCCAGAAATATTAAATCAGAGTGTTAAGATGCATGGTTTAACCTTGAGAGTCAGTCTATGCTCCAAGGATTTTCTGGGGGGAATGGGAGGTTGTTTTAGTAACAGTAATCAAACTCACTACCTCACACCTGCCAGGCAGACTCTGTGCCACTTGGTTTGTTTTTAAGACAGAGTCTTGCTATGTAGCTCAGGCTGGCCTTGAACTCACCATGTAGTCCAGGCTGACCTTGAACTCACAGCAATCCTGCCTCAGCCTCCCAAGTGCTGGGATTACAGGCATGTGCTACCAGGCCCGGCTTCTGCTCCAAGGGATTTTTTTTATCCTTTTCAGTTAGCTGGTATCTGGAAGACTGGCATGAGTACAAGTGAGTTCGTTTACAGCCCACTTCGTGCTATTTGGTAGTGTGCTGAGGCCTTGGGGGCAGACGCATGGCTTCCGTTCTGAAACCAGTGATGCCAGTGATAGTAGGTTTTGTTTTTTTGTTTTGTTTTGTTTTGTCTTTTTGAGACAGGGTCTCGCTATGCAGTTCAGGCTGGTCTTGAACTCACTTTGGAGCCCAGGCTGGTCTTGAACTTGCAACAATCCTCCTGCCTCAGTCTCCCGAGTGCTGGGATTACAGGCATGTACCACCATGCCCAGCTCTCCCCTTTTTCTTCCTTCCTTCCTTTCACTCAAACTTATGATCCTCCTGCTTCTGAGTACTGGGATTATAGCCCTGCAGTAGCACCTTGGCTAAACTTGGCTTTTTTAGCTTGGTCTTTGGCCCTTAATCTCAACTCCTCCAAAGAACAATGTAGAGATTACAAATCTGAGAAACATCTGGGCGTGGTGGTATATGTGCTTGCTTGTAGTCCCTGCACTGGGGAGGCTGAGACAGGAGGATCATGGTGAGTTCAAGGTCAGCCTGGACTACATAGTAAGAATCTGTCTCAAAAAAACAAAAATAAGGGGCTGGGGATTTAGCTCACCGGCAAAGCGCCTGCCTGGCAAGCGCAAGGTCGTGAGTTCGGTTCCCGGTACCGGAGAAAAA